AGCCCCAGCCAGGCTGTCGGGGGCCGGGGGAGGCTCACGGAAGAGGGGAGGCGCGCTCCAGCCTGGCGGGGAGCAGGGGCTCAGATGGAAGACTGCCACTGCACGAAGCGCTTGGATTCCTGCGGGACGTGAGCAGAGGGGTGGAGCGGGCCCGGCTCGGTGCTGCCGCCCGGCCCCGCCCCAGGCGCGGGGGCCAGTACCTGAGGGTTGAAAGGGTCGTCATCGTCTGTGTCATCGTAGTCGTCACTGGGGTGTGAGGCAGGGAGTGGCAGAGAAGCAGGACGGGGACCATCAGGAGACTGCAGGCCTCGGCAGTGACCCCTGGGGGCCGCCCTCCTGGCCCCGCCCCGGGACCCTGCCCTCGGCCCCCTCCTGACCTGGGTGGGAAGAGGGCCCAGGCCCGGGGCAGGCTGCAGAGGGTGGCGGCCAGGGCCCCGGCAGACAGGAGGGAGAAGAGCAGCAGGAAGAGCAAGCCCTCCAGGGCGTCTTCGCACAGGCCCCGCAGGGCTGCGCCGTAGTCCTGCGGGGGGCGGGCGTCAGCGGGCAGCGCCCCTCCAGCCCACGGGGCGCCCGCGGTTGCAGGCTGCTTGGCGCTGTGCGGGCTCCCGGCCGCCCCGCCCCGCCTGTTTCCTTCCCCCGAGGGCAGGGTGCGCAGTACCCAGCAGGTGCAAGCCTGCGGCCTCCTCCGCTGAGCTGCCCTGCTCCACTTCATCTCCGCCTGTCCAGGGCCCAGGCCCCTCCTCATTCCACAGCTGGGAGCAGACCTGCTTCTGCACCGGACCTGTCCCCTCCCCGCCGTGGACCCTGCACCGAGCCGGCCAGAGCCCTCCCTGGTGCCCCTCCACCACTGGCGAGGCCCCATCGGCTCTGCCCATCCGTGCAGGGTGTCAGCCTGGCCATTGACGTTTTGAGCCTGGTCGCGGTCTTGGGGCCAGCGTGTGGGTTGTAGGACTCTGAGCAGCGCTTCCAGGCTCCACCTAGGAGCCTCAGCCCACCCCTTCCCGTGGGGTGACCACCGACTTCACTGCACTGGCCTGGGCCCTGGGGCTGCATTGTGGCGCAGGCTAACGTCGGAGCGCCCAGAACACCGACCGGGACTCGCGCCTCGCACACAGCACCCGCTTGGCAGATGCCGGCCGAGACCACTGACCGTGGCCAGCAGCCGATCCACGCCTACGGGCTGACTGAGCCCGCCCTGCACCAGGCACGGCTTCCAGAACCCGGAAGTCCAGTGTTTAGGGCCAACAGGACTGAGGTCACCCTGGGTGCTGGGGAGCTGGCTCGCTGGCAGGACCCGAGAGCAGGCCGCAGGGTGTACGGGTGCAGGAGGAGGGTGAGAAGGCTGAGGCCAGACACGCTGGCTGGGGCTGACCACTCTGGTCCTGGCGGTCAGGGCGGGGAGCTGGGCTTCCCCTCCGAGTCGAGTCGGGGAATCACTGGAGGGCTTTAGGTGGAAGAACTGGACCGCACTGTGCAGTAAAAGGCCGCCCGGCAAGGGCCACAGGCATCAGGTCGGAGGGGAGGACGGAGTGGGAGGCGGGCGCCACGGCAGCAGGGGTGGGATGAGCAGGGTCAGGCCCACACGGGGCCCAGTGGGACTTGCTGTTGGAATGGCTGTGCGGATTAGGACGGGAAGCAAAGAGCAGAGGGTGGGGCACAGGGTGCCCGTTACTGAGCCGGTCACAGCGAGTGGCAGGGGGCTGGGGATCTCAGGGCAACAGGGAGTCCTGGTTTGCGTGTCCCAGGCCTTGCACAATGCCTCTTATCCTCACAACAGCCCTGTAAGGCAGAGACCAACTCCCCCGGACTACTGCTTTTGTAGGGGTAGAAAGATGTTGAAGCCCAGAGAGGGCAAGCCACTTGCCTAGAGTCACACAGCCTGGAAGGGGCTGAGCTGAGATTGGAGTCAGGCTCTCGGGCTCCAGTGCCCACCCTCCTTCCTCCTCATCCATTGTCCCTGATATTAATGTGCGGGGACCCTGAAGTCCAGAAGGGAAGTCAAGGCCCAGGGTGACACGGGCCATCAGTTGAGGGTGCAGACTGACCCACGCTCCTCCTCCCTTTGGAAAGCAGGTGTCCTGGGACCTGCACCCCAGGCCAGCCCTGCCTTGCCTGGCCCATTGACCGTGTGGAGGAGCAAGGTAGCTGGCCTCCCCCTGCCCACTCAGCACTTCTCAGTATGGATTCTGTCCTCCTGCCCTCCTGGCTCAACGCAGAGGGTCCCTGGGGGCAGAGGCGCCGATCAAGCATCTGCCCGTTGGGCTGGTGTTTCCGACACCCGGTAAAGAGCTGCCAATGCAGTGCCCCCCCCCCCGGGGCGGGGGGGGGCCCGCACCAGGCAC